AGCGCTAGTTAGACAACCAAAAGCCCAAACTAGATCAGAAAATCTAATCAGACCTAAGCCAACCCTAATTGACATAACTAACCCCTGATTAGTTACCCTAAGTCCTAGTCAATCACCTAAAAGTCCTAATCATCAAACCTAAGCTAACCCTGTTGACTTACCAACCCCTGATTTGACTTTTAGCACCCTAACCAGACCTAAACTAAGTCTAATTGACTTAATTCTCATCTGATCAGACCCTATAAACGCCTAAAACCAACCCCTACAGACCTGCCCTGATCTAAACCGACCCCTACAAACCTATACCTAGTGATTCTAGACTTAACCAACCCCTAAACCAACCCGTTTTAGCCAAATCCCAACTAATCAGACCTAACCGGTCAATATATCGGTACTCTATGACTCAAAACTGGTACTTAGGAGTCCTATCTAGTCCTAAACTAGATAATACCTAAATCTATAATCAGATTTTAATCTGATCAGACCTAGACAATGTCTCTATAGACATTCTAAACCTCTAAACAGACCTAACCAAGTCTATTTTGACCTAATTACCTACTGATCAGACCTAGACTAAGCTAGACTAACCCGAATTTGGTTAAACCAGACCTAAAAAAAGACCCAAACAGCCCTTACAGATCTATACCGACCTAAACCAGTCAATCTCAGACCTATACCAGCCTATTTTAGTCTAACCCGATCTCTTACCCAGCTAAACATAGTCAAATCCAACCTATTCAGACCTATACTGAACAGAGACCGGAATCTATGACCCACATCAGCTAAACCGAGATCTAAACAGGTCTATCCTTAGTATATTTCACTAAACCAAGCCAAATTTGGATACTAGACCAACCTAACAGGGTAAACCGATCACTACAGACCCTAATCTACTCTAAACCAGTCCACTATGCCCTAAACCAGACACCATCAGACCTCATTTGGACTAACCTAACCCTAAACCAGTTAGTTCTAGTCCTAATTGTACACTCCAGACCTAACCCACCTAATCTAGTCCTAAAGACCACCAACTCAGGCCTAACACGACCAATAACAGCCCTAACTAGATAAATCAGACTCTAAACAGACCTCTACCAGCCTAAAAACAATCTGATCTTACCTAATACCGGACCCAATTGACCTATACGGTCTAATTCTAGCCTAATTGGATAAACATACCCTCACATTAGACCTAAACCAGTCTAAACCGGCCTTAATTCACCTCCAATCAGACCCTATTGGTCTGAACCGAACAATTCTAGCCTTCCCAAACAAATCAGACCTTAACCAAGACCTAAACCAGCCTAAACTAGTCTGAATTGCCCTAAACCGGACTCAATTGATCTAAACCAGACCTGAATTGACCTAAACCGGACTCAATAGTCCTAAACCAGACCTAGATTGACTTGAATCGGTCTAAACCGGTCCAATTGACCCCAAACCAGACCTGAACCGGTCCGATTTGACCTAAACCGATCAACTGTTGACCAAATTGGTCAACAGATTGACCGAACCGGAGTGAACCGGTCTGAACCAGCCGGGACCGGGCTGAACCCGGTCTGACCATCAGGAACCGGACTTGGATCGTATCGAACCAGGTTCGATTGACCCAAACCGGGTTTAACCGAAATTGGATCGATTAAACCGGTCTGAACCGGATTTAATTCGAAACCCTAGCCGCCGAGTCACCCGAGTTGACTCGGTCGTTGACTCACCCGATTCCTCTACTCAAACCCTAACTCGGACGAGTCGGGACTGAGTTTCACCGGAATCGAACCTTTCTCCGCCGAGTTCACCGAGTTTCTATGAAATTCGGTCTCAAAATCGGAGAAAGTGCGGAAAAATAATGAAATCGTGTCAGAAAACCTTACCTGACTCACCGGGTCGAATCTGTCTTCACCGAGTCTTGATCTCAGACGATCCACCTCGACAGATCTGACCACCGGCGACTCCGGGACTCTCAGATCTACTCCCACCGTCGCCGATCCGCCTCCGTCTTTGACTGATACACTCAAACAGGCCGTCAACACGCTCCGACAGACAAATCCGAACAAACCCTAACTTACCTGCCTTTTGCCGGCGATTTCACCTCCTGGATCGTAACCGGAGCTCTGATACCACTTTGTGAAGTGTGTATCGAACCCTCGCGGTTTCTCTCTGACGCTCGTACGTGTGAGGAAGACGAAGAACACATCGGTTTTAACGAGTTCGGTTACCGAGCGAAGCTCGGGCCTACATCTCGGCCGGACGGTGCCGGCAAATCCACTAGAGACGAAAGAAACACCGGAAAACCAAGAACGGACGGAGCTCCACAAATCGGAGACTCATCCGAACCAAAGACATCCGAGAAAACAACCAAGAAGATACACGAGACCTTACCAACGCTTACCTACCTCACCGTTGGCGAGTCGTCGCCGGTCTGGGCTTCGCCGTAGCCGGAAGCACCTCCGTCATCGGGATCCTTCTCTTTCGCCTCTCTATTCGCCCTTCTGCTCTTCCTCTCACTCGAATCCTCGAGCCACGTGCATACCTTCTGAATCAGAAACGCAATAGGGTATTAACCCTAACAACCCAAAACGCCACGTTTTGGTCTCTCGGTTTTGTCTAAACCGAAAGCCTCCGTTTGGAACGGAGTCTCCTCTTTCTCCAACAATTCATGGGCCAAGCCCAACATTAACATATAATAAATACACACATTTTTTTTTTGATAACGGTAAATCTGTATTAAATCAAAACGGTTCGTATACAACCCGACTTGAAGCCGAAACTAACCATACATGGAATGGATTCCAATAACGTAGAACTTACAAAATATGATCAGTGCCTAAGATGCGATTGAATCACAGACGTGAGTGAAAGCCATTCATCCATAAGATTGTGTGATGAAGGATTGAGGACCGTAGAACCCGAGCATAGTTGTCGTGAGAGAATTGTGTCACGAACCTACCTATCAAGAGAGATTTGAGCCTGTTCCACTGGGGATGATATGTTCCTAAAAATCCTTGCATTGCGCTCCGACCATATAATATATATCGTTGTCTGAATTACCACCTTCGCTAAAACCTTCCTCGCTCTGATACCTGGCCCGATTGGCTATCAAGCCAAACCTTGCATCTATCTACTTCTGCTGGAGGTGATGGATAACATGCTGATGCAAATATCCTCCATAGTCCAACGCTGTAACTACACTCAAAAAACAAATGCGCATGAGTTTCTAGGGCTGACTGACGAAGCACACATGTAGGATTATGTTCGATTCCCCATCTCGTTAGACGGTCCTTAGTCGGTAGCCGCTTGAGCATGACCTGCCACTAAACAAAGCTCATCCTTGGATTGGCTAGCCCAAACTGTAAGAGGGAATATACCAAGGGACCTTAGCAGAAACATGTCGGATCAGGGCCCATATGGATGAAGAAGAGTAGCTAGGCCGAAATACTGATGCAAACGCCTTCCATTCAAAGGAATCGGGGCCAGCTATCGGAGTAGGTGGCAGAATAGACGAGATACGAGACATTGCTTCATGACATCTGTCTGAACGCGCTCCCGAAAAAGACCACTCTGATTCTCGCACTGCCGAGTTCACTGTCGCATAAAGGTGCACACGAAGCTCTCTTGGCCCCGCTGGTCCTACAAACTCAATCAGAGGACCCAAACCAGTTCAGTTATCATGCCAGAATTGAGCGGAAGCCCCATTACCCAGGTTACATTTACTGTTTGATTAATTTAATATGTTTGTAGTTTTTGTTGTCTTGTCCATTATGAAACCAACTTATATTCTCGTGGACTGCCTTGAATCTGACAAATTTTTGTTTTAAAAAAATTTGCAATCAATTTGAAAAATAGAAAAGAAAAAACACTAATTAATTAACTGTCGTTAATCACAAACTTTAAAATTTTCTACAAAATACAGATTTTTTTTTTATAATATTAACAAAATTAATGAATTTTTGAAGAGAATGGAATTATCAGCAAAAAGCTTTTTCTTAATTTCGTTTGCTTGATACAATTTCCAATGGAATTTTTGCTGTTTGTTGTCTTCGTCGGTGTTTATCGAGATGTGCACACCACCTGTTCGGTGAAATTCCTCACAGAGGGGATGAAAAGCTCATGTCTTTTCTTGCTTCGCATGTCTTCTCCGCAACTAAGGTTTGTGAAAAAATTGAACCTTCAAAGAATAATGCGGAAAATCAATCAGTTTTATTCAGTTGAGAAAGATAGTCAAGTACAACTCACTTTTTGTTGTAAGAACCGTACTTACTACATTACACCAAAAAAACCGTACTTACTACACACACCCGAAACTCCCCTTGAGTTTCTTCCCCTCTCACAATGAATTCTACTGATTAAAAAACCTCACAACATAAATCACTCACCAGAGAAAGGAGATTTGCCCAATCGATCTCCCTCTCATATCTCAACCAAATAATGAGAACACACTCACTGAATAGAATAGACTAAGAAATTATGCTCATGCTCTCTACAGAGCTGATATGCACTTGACTCTCTATTTAAACTCCTCTGGTTCGTCTTCAGATTTCCACCAAATGATCGAATCGACTTCTCCTTGATTCTTGTTGATTTCGATTCTATCTTCAAGATCCAATCTCTATCTCTTGTCTTTGACTCTATCTCTTCAGCCTTTGACTCTATCTCTTCAGGCTTTGACTCTATCTGAATCTTGTCAGTTGTACCTCAGATTTGCTCGAGTGCTATCTCGTCGGATTCTTCTCCTGAAATCTCTCATAAGTTGTTGAACCTACAACAACCTTTTAACAACCAAAATAACACGTGCAAATACTTGCACTAACAATCTCCCCCTTTTTGGTTATTTCAGATCATACACACAAACACAACCCATTCAACTGATTTCATCAAAGTTCAAACCAAACTAACCAAAATAGAGTCATCACACAAAACATAAGACTTAAGATCACCACAAGTCATCAGAACACATAGAGTCATTAAGAGCATAGAAGTTCATATCATCAGCTAAGTGAAAATTAGAAACGAAATGATGAGTCATCAGAAGGACTCCTGACTCTCCTAGTCTTTCTTATCGTCCCTGACTTCTTTGATACTTCCGCCTTCTTGGGAGTCGGTTTAGGTATCTCCGAGTCATCTTCTTCATCCTCCTCCTCTGAGTCTTCTTTTTCTTCTGAATCGAGATCTCCTTCTGCTTCCTCAATTTCTCCCCCTGCGGGTATGTATGAAATAATCAAAAAACAAGATTATCAAGTTGAAGAGTACCTGATTGAATAATGAACACATTACTCAGAGTAGCTTCGATGTATTCGTGGACTGTTGCACGGATTTTCTGACAATGTATTGCTTGCTTCCTTAGTCCGAGCTCCATCTTTATCAATGCTTTTTCTGCATCCTTGAGAGTCTCCAGCATCTTCTTGAAGTCCTTCGTTCCTTTTCCCTTCTTCCTTTTGATTCTGGACTCAACCACTAGGGGTTTTTGAATCACCTCGATGTTCTCCTTTGGATCAATGAGTTCAGGGCACTGCTTAGTGAGTATGCTTTGAATTAAGCAGGGATAAGGCAGTCTGAACCTTGCTCTGATGTCCAGGGCTCTCTCCAGAATATGAGATCATGTTTCCATAGGTGATCTTGATTCCTTTCTTCACACAGTAGATGAGTACTGCCAGCCTCTTGTGGATCAGACTTGATCGCTGAGTTGGTAACCAGTTAGATCTGGCTATTTTGAACAGCACTGAGGACTCGAAATTCAGCTCTACTGGGGCTATCTCTCCTTTTCTCTTCTCATCATAGCTGTCAGTGAGAGCTATCTCCAGCTCTTTCTGGTCAATCTCTCTGTCCAGCTCGTCCATGGTTGTCACAACTGTGTTCTTCAAGCCCAAAAACTTGTTGATCACTACTGGGGAAAAATGCAGTATCTTCCCTCTTATGTACACCCGATAGTACATTGGATCTTCTGCCTTCACAATCTTCTTGGTGATGTTTGCATAAAATTCTTTGACCAAAATTTTGCTGTGTGGACATACATAGGTGACTGTTTCTCCTAGACCTAGACATTCCAGGATGTCCCATATCCCCTGCTCCTTGAAGTTGTTGACATTCACGTTTCTCTCAACAATTGTGTTGAGATGTTTCATGTCATTGAATCTTTGTTCAGATTTCTCATCAACAAAGTGATGAGACATGCACAGTCTAGCCAGTAATTCCTCATCTTCTGACCCAGAAGGAGAACTGGGTATCTCACTTTCTTCCTGAACTTTTTTCTTCCCTTTCATCTTCTCCTTTTGATATTCCTCAGAGACCTTTGAGGATTTTGCCCGGGGCATGTCTTTTGTTGATCTAGCCTTCCTTTTCTCATCATCAAGGCAGGTTGTGATTTTGTCTTCCTTTAGACCTTCTTAGGAGGACTTTTTACAGTCACCACTGGTTTTCCAGCCACCTGAGATCTAGTCTGTGCTCTCTGTTCGGAGTAATCGACCAAAAGTTACCTCGAGTTAGGTGTTTAGATTGTATCCAAACCACCCATAAAGATCCACCTGCGGAAAAAAAGGGACCAAATCAGCTTTAGTATTGCTATTTCAATCCAATTTATAAGGTTGTGTAGTCCCAATCCTCCTTCATCTTTAGGTACTGTGACCTGTCTTTTCCCAAGCGAGTCTAACTCCTCGAGTCTGATCTAGAGTTCCTTTCCTTTCCAAAGAAAAACTGCACAGATAGAGTTCAACTTGGTAATACATTTTTTTGGTAGCAAAAAAACATTGACCCAATATCCAATAATCCCCGAGATCGTTGATTTCAGAAGTTGTAGCCTGCCTGCAAATGAGAGTCCTTGTTGTCCACGAACACATCTTATTCTTAACCTTTTGTATTAGTGGCATACAATCGGATAGAGTTAGTTTTCGTGAACTTAGAGGAACCCCGAGATATCTCACCGGGAGCATTGCAACCCCTATATTAGAAAGTTGAGTGAGCTCCGATTTTTCAGTCGTCGTGATCCCACCAACATGGAGATTACACTTCAGAGGATTAATTTCCATGCCTGATATGGAGTAGAAATCATCAAGAATAACTATGATACCTTAAAGAGATTGAGGTTCTCCATCGAAGAATATAAGGAGGTCATCCGCAAAAGACAGATATGTCATATTAGTTGCCCGACATTCTGGATGGTATCCAAATTTACCGTCCGCAACGACTTTGTTGAGCATCACTGAGAGGACATTCATTCCAAGAACGAACAGATAAGGAGATGTTGGACAACCTTGTCGCAAGCCCATTTTACCCTCAAAGAACCCATGATGGCACCCATTGATGCTAACCGAGAAGGAGGGGGAGGAAATACATGTTTCAACAAGTCGGACCAGTTCTTCTTGGATGCATATGGCTCGTAATAAGACAGAGATGAAATCCCATCGAGTAGTATCATATGCTTTAGCTAGGTCAACCTTTAGTGTTGTTCTCTTATATACTCAGTTCCCATGATAATTCTTCACAACTTCCGTAGCTAAGGGGTAATTCTCAGAGATAAGACGACCTCCCACAAATGTTGATTGATTTGGTAGGATGATTTCTGGGAGAACTTTTTTAATCCTTGGAGCTAAAATCTTAGCAACAATCTTATAAAGAGTGTTGCAACATGAAATGGGTCGAAAAACTGAAAACCGTTCAGCCACAAGACATTTCGGGATTAGGACTAGCATCATAGCATTGATAGATCATGGGAGGATTCCTATGTTACAGAATGCATAACTGCCTCAATGAGTTCTTCACCAAGAATACCACATGCTTTGCGATAGAATTCAACTGTGAATTCGTCTGGACTCAACGATTTGTTAAGCCCCATGGAGAACAAAACTGATTGGATCTCAATCGGAGTAGTCGAAGATTATTCCCAAGATGTTATCTGGAACCACCGAAGGTGATAGTGCTTGAATCAATGATGGGACTATAGTGTAGGAATGTTCAATATCAGTCCCAATGATCCCTTTGAAGTATTCAACAGTTGCCGCATAAATCTGATTCGGTTTCTCTATTCTCCTACCATTGGTATCAAGAATATGTCGAATAGTGTTTTTGGCTCGCCGAGCAAGTAGACTTCTAAAGTCACCAACCAATAGCCATGGAGTGTTGGGGAGGATAATGGTCGTGTGGGTAGTACGGAGCTGATCTCATACAACTTCTCTATCACAACTCATATTGGGTGTATATATTGTTGTGACCATAATCGGTGGAATGCCTTGTCATCCATAATGGGGGTAATCTCAAGTGTTGATCGTCTTATAACCGTAACCAAGGATGGTGGTTTAAAGACCAACCATATTCTGCTTGAAGGGTCGTCCGCATAGTTGCTCTCGATATCCCAATCAACTCCAATGATGGATAGTACTTGTTGGGCATTTTGCTCTTGTACATGAGTTTCTAAGAAAGCCCCAAAAGACAACGGATATTAAAAGATGTTGGTTGTTGGTGTAATACTTTCAGTTTTTGGAAATAACATGATTATATTTTTTGTTCTGGTTATACTAGTTTATTATTTTCAACCCTTGTTTTCTGGATATTAAACAGAGCAAGACCATACAGCCATTTTGGTTATATATTCAAATGTCTAGTTTTCTTCTTACGATATGGTTCGAGGATAAACCACGTGGAAGTTGGTGGGTCAGTGATATCCCGGTTATTGATGAGAGCAAAGAGTAATTGATGGTGCAGGAAGCACATACTAATAGCTGCTCCTGTCAGGCTTTTAGATAAGAAGGATATTAGGATGTATCGAACGCATCAAAATGAGAGAGTTCTGATGAATGTATAGATATGAGATTATAGAGTCAATGTGAAAGTATGAGATTTGTGTTGAGATACACCAATTATATAGGTATTTTTTAACGAAAAAAAGTATAGGTATTTTCTGGCGATTGCCCTCTTTATAATGACGGGATAACATGGATACTGAATTATTTTAATTTACGTGCATTTCAGTAATAGTCGTGATCATTTTTTTAAATGACTATTTATTTTTATTCATTTTTAAAACAAACAATATTTAAAATTTTGTTTAAAATAAGACGGTTAAATTTATGAATAAAATATTAAAAATAAAGATTTAAGTAAATATTTTTTTAAGTTTCTTAACATGGTGATGGGCCTTTGGTTTTGTTAATTGTTTTTCTTTTAATAAAAATCCCAAAACATAATGATATATGACCCTGTAGAAATATGAAGGGAACAAAACATAGAGAAAATCATTATATGCAAACAAAACATATATACGGATTTTTCATTTTTTCAGATATTTCGCGAACTGAACAAACACTGTGGATAAAAAAGACATGTCTATACATATATTTCAAGCTATCAATATATAGATAGAGAGAGGGCGACAGAGAAAGAGAGAATCTAAAGGTGGCAAACCACATGTTTTGGTTTGTTGAAACATATCAGGTAACAAATGGCACTTCTACAGGATCAAGCGACCTTATGTCGCCACGTGTCAACTGCCCAAGTGTCGGACCGAATTCCAAACATGTTAGAAAAAAATACTATGAATACAGCGGGAAAGAACAATGAAACAGTGAAATCGAAATAAAGATGAAACAACCCGGATATAATCTTCTAGGCGCGTAGAACACTTTCCTAAAACGTTATTCCCTCCCCTACCGAGCAAAGGAGAAACTCGAGAATACGTTTAGAGATACAAAGAAGATCAGCAACGGTTGATTTGCTCCTCAAACGTTGCCCAAAATAGAAAAACCCGAGAAAGAAGATGAACAGTAAAAGATGGAGAAGAAGTAGCAAGTTTCTTCACCAAAAAGGCTCACAAATCTCTCAAGATCAGTTAGATTTCGTATATCCCCATTCTCTGACGTTCTTGGCTTTAAAAACACCAGAGACATGATCAAAAGTTGTATCCATTTAGTAGTTTTCATGCGAAAGGCCGCATTTGTTCATATTACAGACATTTAACACGGCCCGTGTCGAATCTGACACGGCCGTGTTGCACCTAACACGGTCCGTGTTGCACCTTAACACGGTCCGTGTCAAATGTCTGAGAAAAACAACATTTTCTCAGAGAATTAACACGGCCCGTGTTGAACCTAACACGGCCGTGTTTGTAATTAACACG